GAGCCGCCGTCGGCAGCGCGCAGCTCCGCGCCTGGCGCTGGCGCTGCTGCAGCCGCTCCAGGTAGCGGGACTCGGCGTCGCGGGCCGACTCGTCCTCGAAGCGCACGCGGGATGGGGAGGCGCCCCGCTTGGGCCACTGCCCGCTGCTGGACTCCCCGCTGGACGAGTCACTCGTGTTCCCGTTCTGCGGGGTGTCTCTGCTGGCAAAGGGCATCCTCGAGTCCGGGGCTGGGCTTCTCCGGCCGTCTCTGAGGGGGAGACAGGGGGAGACAGGTCACAGACAGAAGATGGGGAGGAGGGTACCATGGGGTACAGCTCCGTGATGACTACAACTCCAAAGTTACCCGACATCAGGTTCCTGGGGAGTCAGGCAGCAAACCCGAGTAGCTTCCAAGCCCATCTTGATCCTGAAACCCAGCTCTAAACGAAATCAGTAGGAGCTTCCTATCTTGTGTTTCCTTCTGTTGCCTGATTCAAGATGAAACATTATATTGAACAGAGGATGTACCGATGGATAAGAGCAAAATCCTCATAGTGGGGTGTGTGCGTGTGTGTATGTGTATGTGTAAGTGTGCGCGCACTTAAGAGGACGTGAGCCTGGCATTCATGGGCATCTGGTAGGGATGAATTGTTCCAATGATGTGTTTGCTATGAAGGTTTAATGGGAAGAATGAATTATAAGTCTCTACAGAGACTGTGCGGGACCTGAAGTCAGGGTTTCTAAGCATTCTTGCTCCCAAAAGTGTCCACTCAGGGTTCCTAATCCTCTTGCTCAGACAAAATTTAGACAGAATGCCACCCATGTTTCTCCTTGGACTCTGCATCTTGTCTGTTCCAGCACCCACTTACCTGCCCTCCTCAGCCCCTCACTCGCACTCTGAAAAGCTGTGAGGACAAGGACTGCGCTAGGAAGAGCCGTCCTGTCACCGGCCTTTGCCCTGGGAGACACTGCTGGTGGTCAAGTCCTGCTCAGCTCAAGAAAACATCTACATAAATCTCACACCAGGGCCCCCTGGAGCCAGGAACCTGAGTTTCCAGGCATTTCCCATCATAGGCTACCTAAGGAAGGACTGTACGTTCCCTTCCTTTTCCCTGCAGCAGCATCCCCATCAGTCTACTGCTCAGTGTTTGGCATTCACACCATTCTTCTCATTTATCGCTTTTCTATCACTCACACTGGACTCCCGCCTCTTACCCAGCCTCCCTGCCTCCTGTCTGCTGGTCCTCCTGGAGTACAGCCTTGTCACACTGTCCCCGAAGGGGGCACAGGATCCAGCTCACAGTCTTTGTGGTAAAAACACAGGCCTTCCACCTTCCTCACTGTTTTCCTTCCCAGCTCTGCCCCCCACCACCCACTTTATAGGACCCCCAGGCTTCCTACACCTCATCCACCTCATGCAGCCCTCTTGCCCCATTTCCTGGAGTCTTTTTTTCTTAACCTGCTGGCGCGAGCCAAGCTACTCATGCTGTTTGACAAAGTCCAAGTATGGGGGACGATCCTGAAAACAGGAGACTCCACAGCTGGCTCCTGCTATTCTCTTTCATTTTGTTTATGGCAATCTTTATAATTGTGGGAATATTTCTGGGGTTTCATGATAAAGTGACTACTCACCTTAGTTACGC